TGTCTTCTGCGCATTATTAAGCCTTCGCCCGCATCCACTGCCAGCCCTCAAACCTCCGCGAGACCCCTGCGTGCCCGTAATGCTGAGAGTTGTTTAATATTGTTCTCAAATTGCTTTGTATTTTTAAAATTTCAGTACCTAGCGAGCTGAGGCGCTGGCCCGCCGCTGTGCACCTCTACAGCTGATGGGAGACAGGCGGATTCGGCCGGTAGCTAAAACACCCTCCCACTGCCTGCGTGCTTCGCAGGGCGTTAAAAGAGATTTCGAACGCACACGCGGTGACTTGCAAGTGATCTGAAACGGTTTACAGGCAGAAAAGGAGAAGAAAATAATGATACTGTCAGTAAAAAAAAAGGTAGGATATATCCACCGCTATTTATTTAAGCAATGGTGATAATTTTAAACGATCTGTGTTGTCCTCAGATCAACAACGTTTTACACAAGAACTAGACAGAATTTATTAAGGATCCAGGATCCTGCTAGCATTTTCACATTAAGAATCTGTGATAAAAAATTTAGCCTTTAGGGAAAAAAAAAATCCAAACCTTAAAATCCGGGGGGTTTGGTATTTTTTTTCTCTCCACGTGGAATTGAGGAGCCTTCTGGCTTGCAGCGGAGTATATTTTATACAGCTAAACTGCTTTTGACAAACGAAACCAAGTTATTGTTAATTACTCAACCTGTGGCCTTTACCAAACTGAAATATATGATTAAACAAAATGGCTCGGACAGCACATCAAGCTTTGAAGAATGATTTTATTTTTTGAGCTCTCAAAGCCTTTTCTTCAGAAAACAGCAAGCGTTTTTTTGTCGTGACAGCGGGATTGTTCAACTCTCTCTATTTAGCCAGTGTCAAAATGCTCCAGAAAAAAAATTGTCAGAAGGAATTTTGTGACCCTTCTGCCACAAAAAGCACACGCGCAGGCACCCAGATAATATTGCACTCCGCGTCGCGAGGCAGAAACGTTGTGCTTTGCAGCGTGCCTGTCGTGAACAGGCGCTCGGTTTGAACCCGCTGCAATAGGATTTTCCGATTTTGATCGATCGTGACAGAAAATGAGCTCCATAACCATGACTAAACTAAATATCCCCTCTAAGAGCCGCAGCGTTTCGGAATCATTAACGAGTATAGAATAAATAACGGAGAAACGCACGGGAACCCCTGCCTTTAACTCTACTAATTGCCAGCTGCCGCAGGAGAGCCAGGTTCTCGGTATTTCTATTTGAAAATAAAAGAAGCTTTCAGAGCTACCTGCTTCACCGCCGGTCGGTGTTTTTATGCAGCGAAATAACAACGCAAAATCCTGCGCCTGGCACACGAAGCTCGGCTCCCGGGAAGGCACGGCACAGAACCGCGCACGAACGCCCAGCAGCTTTTGCAAATGCCGGTAGAATAAGGGGATTTTTCTGCGCTTTCCCTCACAGCGGTAGCAAGAAAAGGAAAGGAAAAAGAGGTTATTTCTCTGTTCCTGAGCCGGAGCGCCGAGGGAGGCGGAGCGGCCCCGCTCCGGGAGCTCCCCCTGCCCCTCGCCCGGGGCCAGGGACCGACCCCCGCCCCCGCCGGAGCCTGGCCGTGCCGGAGTCCCCCGGGGAGGGACCTCCCCCCCCCCCCGCCGGAGCCTGGCCGTGCCGGAGCGTCAGCTCACGGCGCCAGATGGAAACCGGCGGCGGGGGAGGGTGCACCGAGAGGGCCGAGAGAGGAGAGAGGGGGTGGAAGGGGGGGGGAAAGAGCCGGAGCAAATTAAAAAATTAAA